GAGCTATGGGCAAGGCTCTATTTAATACTAAAATCCTTGCCAGAATTTTTAAATATCCTTATCACTGGCACCCCTCCCCTGACCCTGCAATTTGCTTTCAGATTAACCCGCTGAAACCATTTTCTGGAGAATGAAATATGGCCCCAATGAGGATTAACACTCAGACCCTTCTTTGCTGGCAGACAGACTCAGAGCTTCAAGCCCCACTGCAGCTGCAAGACCATGCAGGATGCCATAATGAGGCTTGCGATATGCATGGGAGGCAGCAAGCCCTCTTGCAGGGCCCCCATTTTCTGAGCCTCGCCTTCAGCTGAAGAGATAAGAACCTACAACTGGGGCCACAGGAAATGACAAAGCAGTGACTGATCGGGGAGCTGCTACACAGGGCTCATTATGGTGCTTGCCAGCGGGCGAGACACCCTTATCAGGGAGAAAATTGCATCAGGCCTCCTGAATTACTAGCGATTGGAAGCAGATTTCTTGGGATGCACTTTGTTAGATACCTAATGAGCGGGATACAGGCGGGCAGAGCCCAAGGCCGGCGGGGCGGGGGACAAATGTCTTTGTTAAACAGAATTTGTCAGTTTCCGCTCCGGGTTCCCTGGGGAGGGTTCAGGGCCAGCTAATTGAATTAAGAGCATGTGCGCTCCCGCGAGAAGGCTCAGGGCGGGGCGAGAGGCGGGCAGGCCGGAAGGCGGGCTCTTTCAGCACCAAGGACAGCAGCTGCATCCTGGCTAGTCTGTAATTGCCGGGGCAGGCTGGAACTGTTGCATTTTGCATGATCAGGGATCTAGGGGATGGAGCGGGTAGGAGGGAGGCAGAAGATGTTAGGGGAGGAGGAGGAAACAGGTGACCCAAGAAGCCTCGAGCCTGTGATGCTATTGGCCTGGGCTGTCTCAACAGACTGTCCTCTGCAGGCAACAGCAAAGGGCTGAGAGGCACGAGGAAGGGGAGTCTGCTCTCCACCATGACACTCACGTGGTGCGGGGCAGCTGCGGCAGCACAAGGAGTGGTGGGCTGCGCAGCGAGTCTGAGCCAGTACATGGCTGTGCATTGCTTTGAGCTTTCAAGGTACGTCTCCAATTACAGCCCTAATGAAGCAGGACATGCTGCAGCCACGGAACCACAGAGTGGAGGGGCCACTTGTCAGCCCCAAGCTGCCTCAGCCATCAGGGCAAGGCCTGCCAAGTAGAAAAGCAAACAAGCAGGCCTGTGGGGTGGGCTAGCAGCCTCCACCCCCACCTAGAAAAAAGGAGGAGAGCTAGGTAAGCCTGGGCTTAAATAGGGAGGAGTTAGTCCCCAAGGCCCTACCCTCTCTTCATCCTCATTTTAGCATTATCCCCCTCCCCCATCTTCCACCCTGACTACCCACCATTTCGATCAGCCTTGCCCCTTCTTGTAACCCCAGACAAGCTCCTTTCCCATGAGAAGCAAGGAAGAGAGGGCACAATTGCCTCCCCACAACGTGGGCAGACTGAAGCTGAGCAGTCTGAATAGGCAATGTTAAGGAGAATTTAGGCACTGTGTGGGGTATTGTGAGCCTCCTTACCTCACATGACAAGAGCAACTGCCTCTGGCCCTCCCTTTGGAGCTTCTACTGTATGGGAATCTAAAGATTTTTCTATAAAAGTCACCGGCTCACTTGCCCCCAACTCCCAAGCCAGGATGGATTCTGGCAAAGTTGATTCGATCAGGGGATTAGAATTGTGGGCAGGAGTCCTGCAAGGATGGGTGTGGGAGGTGGGGAGGTACTAGCATGAAGCAGCTGTGGGAACAGATACAGCCCAGGGCCAGCCATGGAGAGGGCAGAGCAGAGTAGATCTACTGAGTCTTGCAAGGGCCCCAGGAAGAGCAGCTAGGGGTCAGAAGGAGCAGAAGAGTTGACATCCATAAATATTCTGCCTTTCCTTCCCTCCTGCTGAGAACATCCTCCCCCCACAACCTGCCTACCAGAGATTGACAAAGTGAAGTCACTGGTCTGGACTCAGGGGTCAGTGTCATTTTAATCTTATCTTTGTGATGAAAAATTAAATGAATTATACATAATAAATTTCAGAATCCACGTAAAAGTACCTGGTGAGTGTATGTGAGGGTGATCTAGCTGCAACATCTCTCACCCCATTAATCACCAGGGTTGATTCAGCTGGTCTGGCTGGCTAAGCAGGTGTCCCCTTTTTCCCTTACTGCTCTGCATGCATCCTTCCCGAAGCTGTGCTCTGTAGATAGAATAAGACTGTTCTTCCATCAAGGGTGTATGAGTAGCTGCTCTCCCCAGCTAGAACCTCCAAATAACCTCTCAAGGTCCAGTTGTAGGAGAATGTAGACTAGTCAAGCTTCCAAGACACCAGACACATCTAAATGAGGCACCACATGTGACAAACTGCCTTTCTTTTGAAAAAAAAATTTTTTTTTAGTACCTGGTAAGTGCCCAGCTCCGATTGGGGCCCCGGACATGTCAGCTCTGGGTCACTGAGTTTATCCAGCTGGTGCTGGGCCCACAAAGGATAGATGTGAGGGAGACAGGCAGTGGGGGAAGGGACTCCCTCTGCAGTGTGTCCCTGCTTTCAGAGCTGATGGGGCACCTCTGGAGACCTCTCCCTTGATTTCATTACTTCCACTTCCTCCCTTAACTGGATTAGATGGCAGTCTATGAAATCCAGGGCAGCGAGATTGGCTTTCTGCCTGGAAATGAGGAGAGATGTCATTACAGGTCCTGAATCAGCATCTCGCCCCAGTCCCAGGGGCCACCTGGTCAATAGGGAGTTCATCTTTGCCCCGGATAGCTGTTCTTTCCTTCATTCTCTCCTGTACCCATCTACCCACGCATCCATCCAGTATGCATTCTATAGTTCTCCTGCTCCAGCCAGTCTGGTGTTCAGCTGTTCTGAGCAGGAGATGCATGTGGTGCTTTTTCCTATCTAAAATGCAGAGACAACAAGACAACCCCAAACCACCTGACTCAGATGTTTTACAGAGCCACTGGTGTGTTCAGTGGGGAGCCTCTCGATGAATCTCACCCTCCCTAAACCATAGTCACTGGGAGAGGCAGGTGAGAGAGATAACCATGCCTAAAGCCCAGGGACAAAACAGGCTCAGGAGTTTTGGTTATGAAGTACAATACGTGCCAAAATCAGCCTCAAGGTCACCCAATGCATCCCCTTCTCATTCCAAGAATCAATATATAGCTGCTTTCTCTCTGGAATCATCTGTCCTTGTACCCATCTGACAGGGTAGGTGGGAGATGAGGCCCAGACTGGACTAGATACCTCTGTCCTTGCATGACTATCCCTTACTCTACTGACATAAGCCTGAAAAGACTTCATGTTAATGAATTTCTGCATACCAAATTTTATTTTTTAAAGGCTTTTATTTTATTAGAGAGAGCCAGAGCAAGGGGAGGAGGGGCAGAGGGAGAGGGAGAGAATCTCAAGCAGACTCCCCACCTAGCACGGAGCCTGATGAGGGGCTCGAGCTCACAACCCTAAGATCATGACCTGAGCCAAGACCAAGAGTCGGACACTTAACCAACTGAGCCACCTAGGCACCCCATGAACTTCTGCATACAAAATTTTGTTTTAAAAGGGGATAAAGGAGTCATTATTTAAAAGATCCAAGTGGTAAAGTGAAGGGTCCTTATCCTGATTCTTCCGGTTCATATGTGTGGGGTTTTATATAGAATATCCACTTCAAGGGAGGCCCACGCATACTTTGTTCTTCCTCTGTTTGTTCAGGGTCAGACATTCAGGCACCTCTAACCCTGAGCACATCCTGTGGTGGTTGGCACTGTGCCCATTGCTCTGTTTGCTTCTAGCACAGATGGTGGCATATTTATCTGCTATGTGGCCAAGACAGAATTCCAACAACTGAAGTAGGGTAGAAGCTGGTCATCTTTGAGGTCCCTACAGCCTTTGAACAACATGCACGTGTTAGGGCTAACCATGGATTTCCAAGAGAGCTTTAAAGTAACCTCTCCTCAAAGGGAGCATCACACATGTCCCTAAGCCCAGGGAACTTAAAGTTTGGGCAGAAAAACAAAAATGGCAAATGAGCCTGGAATTAGAGAACAGTGTGAGAGCAGAGAGAGCCAGCTGCTGGGCTGGAATATCCCAGAAAAGCTTTGAGCAAGTGTGGGTGGAGGCCATCAAGATTTCCTAGAGAAGCTGGGATCTGAGTACGGTTGAGTTCTAGACCAGCAGAGATAAGAGCTGCAGTCATGTCAAGGGGAGAAAAGAAGAGGAAAAAGAACCTGGGAGCACAAGGAGGAGGCCCAGCAGAGCAGAGAGAGAGGAGACTGTTTAACAGGTGATAGATGGGAGGCTAACAGTAGACATGGAATGGAAAAGGAATCTTCCCAGCAAAGGGTGTCAAAGGAGCATGGCGATGTTCGAGGCTCTTGTTACTGCACCAAATGTGAGAGTCCTGGATGGCATGGTTTGTTTATTTCTGCGACAAATAGATTATTGAGCACGTAACAATGAGGCAGACACTGGGGATAAACAAAGTCTCTACTCACATGTCGCTTGCGCTATAGTGTGAGAATCAGAGGGAGGCAGACAGTAAACAAGCAAAATCAGTTTTTGCAAGTTTAATTTTCTGGTAGAGTTAAGTACTATGAACAGTAAAATGGGATAATGTGAATACAGTGTATATTGGAGGAGGGGTGACTTTAGAGAGGATGGGCCTCTCTCTTGAAGGCCAGGGTCTCTCGTCTGGGCTAAAATCTGAATGATGAGAAGAGGACAGCCGTGTAAAGACCCATGAGGCTATCTGCGCAGAGAGCACAGCAGGGGCAAAGGCCCTGAGGCAGGAAAGGCTGGCTTGTCGGAGGAATGCCAAGGACAGTGTGGTAAGGCCCCAGGGAGCAAGGGGGCAGGTGGTAGGTGGTAGACAGGAGCCAGGCATGCAGGGCCTCCTGAGCCATGAAGAGGAGAGGCTTCGGGGGTCTAGAAAAGACATTTGTGGTAGAAAGACAGAAATTTCTTTGCACCTTCTCTTCCCAGAAGCCGGAAAACTTCTTGACACCAAACAGCAGCCAGGTTCTGCCCATCCTGGACCCCAAGATCTTAGATGAGAAGCTGGGTACCATCCGTGAGTCCTGGTCCAAGGCCACGGTGAGCTCTACAATGGATTCCAGCACATCTACCTCTCAGGAAACAGAGATAGAGCCTCAGGCACCCAAGATGTCCCATGAAATGGTGAGTGTCTCCACCCAGTGCTGGGAGAGGAAGAGCGGGGAGAGGGGTCACAGGGAAAGGGTTTGACTGTCACCAAGTTCACTCCTCAGGTGGCAAGGAGACCTCCCTTCAGGCACACTCTGTTTGTGACTTACCTCCAAGCTAAACTGGTGGAAGGTGTGGATTCTTCATTTTACAGTTTCTTCACCTTTCGAATGGAACTCCCACACAATCTCCTTCAAAGCAAACCCTTGCAACACTTGTAAGACAGGGATCCATTGACTCAAGTAGAGATCAACCCAGAACTTTCTCAGGAGCACGTCCCATGGGTAAGGGGAAGCCCCTCTGAGTCATTAGTTTTAATTTCTCAAAGAGGAGATTGGGGCTCAAAGAAAAGAGGATACCGTCTTTGGTCACAGGGTCTGTGTCCTTGGTCATGGGAGCTGCAGTTGACCAGATGCTGGGAAAGGGTTGGTGAAGGTGGCCAAGGTGGTGGCTTAATTTGGCGAGGGGTCAGTGCTGAGTCCTGGCCCCTTAATGCAGAGAGATAAAGAACAGGCCACCAAGAGACAGTCCAGTCGAAGTCCCCACTTGGGTACCAGGGGTGAATTCATGTGTGGCTTCCTCCCTTCTTCCACAACGGGTCACCTGGGGAATGCTGCTCAGAAAGATCCTGAGGAAAGGCCCCAGCCAAGGCCACTGGCCCCTAGGGAAGCCCTGGGGCTCCCCCTCTCAGGATCTGCCCCTCTCCACCGACGGCCTCTGCATCTTCCCCTGGCACTTCTGCACATTTCTGGAACATGTGCCATCAGATTAATAGGAAGGGTTGCTGTCTGCTGGGTGTGCCCAGGATGCTCCCACATGGACTTAGCCTGCCCACCCCAGAGCAGGTGCCAGAGCACCCATGGGCCACCTTCTACACCCCCTTCTCTCACCTCTGCCCCTTGGGAAAGCAGAGCTCAGGGCTAACTTGCAAGCTTAGCTCTCAACTGGGTTAAAAATGAACATGCAGACCTTGTCTTTGGAGACTTTGCAGCATGAATAGTGCCTGTGGTCAGTCTTCATCTTTTCGTAAGGATTCAACCGTAAGAGATGGTACTAGCCTGCAGCATGTTAGCCAAGAGCAGGAACTGTTCTTGAGCAAGAGGCCGAATAACCATTATGAACAATGGAGGGGAGGAGGAGAAATAAGTGGCCCAAGGGCACTAAGACAAGATTCTGGAAGCCTTTGAAGGTGTACAAGGGGGCTTAGGGATCCCCTATACCCACAGGCTATCAGAGCAGCTGTGAGTTGGGTGCATGCGTCCAGAGAAGCATGCCCCCTCTGGAAATCACTTAGCACTCCTGTCGGTGGGCTGGTCCCTCTACCTTCCCCCTTCCTGGGCACCTGGCAAGATGGTGGTAAATACTTACTGGGCCATGTGATGAAACCCCTGGCTAGACAGCAAGGCCACCAGAAAGAACTTTAGAGGGAGTCTAGTCCAGTCTCCTAATTGATGAAGGGTGGCAATGAGGAAGCCCTAAGGTGGGGTAACCCTGCCCAAGGCTTCCTGACACCACTCTCCCATGCTGTCTTGCTTATAACCAGATGAAAACAGGTAGCTGCAGAGGCCTGCGTGCCCAGCCCCACACTTTTGAGCTAACCTGACACCACTGGGTCCCTCAGACACTCATGCAGTATTCAGTACACTGGGCCTGCCCTTATCCCTTGCCCATCACGGCCTGTGTCAGGCCCAGCTTGTCCCCTCCTGGTGCCTGATTCTTCTTTCCACGCCATTTTCCCTCCCAACCCTGCCTTCTGTCCCCCAACCCATCATTTGTCCCTTCCTCTCTCTCTCTCTCTCTCTCTCTCTCTCTCTCAGCTCAGATTTACCATCTGGCTTTTCCCACCTCTGATCCTTTGCCCCAGTTGGGTCCTAGAAACCCAGCCCCCAGCTCCAGCTCCTACCCACTCGCCAGAGCTTTCAAGGACCAGGGCAGGACCCAGACATCCATATGGCCAGCAAAGCCCCGTCCCAAGCAATAGAACGTGGGTGGGTACCAACAATGTGCAGCTCCGTGAAATCACAGGTAGCCATGTAGCAATGGGTCACTGTTCCATAGCAACCACACAAAATTATATAGCAATAAATGAGCCCATGCAAACAAGAGACAAAGTGACAAGCAGGAGAATGCAGGCAGGGAGTGGTGGAGTAGAGTCGCATATCAATAGAGCCCCACCATACAATACTACTCCACAGCACTTGATGATAGGACACGTGAACACAGAACATGGGAGTGAACACACAGAGGGTAAGCTGCAGACAGAGTCACAGAGCAGAAGATACTCGGCCACCACTGGAACATCTGGGTGGCAATGGCGCCTTCACAGTGTGTGACTCCTGGGCATGCGGTCAGCAGCAGAGCCTGGGGGCAGGGCAGCGGGCCCCCGGTGACATGGCCGTGGCTGAGTGCTAAGCCAGCGATGACCTGCCTCCCTCTTCTCCCCACCTCTGTGTTCAGGCTGTGAGCCCCTCAGCTGCACCAGATTCCTGGAGTGTGTTTGTCTGTCTGGTCTTGTAGCGCAGTCCCCAGAGCCCAAGAGACAATTTTACCTCTGAGTCCCTCCAGAGCCTACTCTGGCTTAATAGGAAATTGAGCATTTTCTGGAGAAAGGGGCACCTTGGGAAGGGAGAAGGGAGTGGAGGGGACGCGGGGTCTGTACCCTCTCTGCCCCAGGGGCCAGTCCCAGCTCTGTAGCCGCCATGAGCCCCACCAGGCTCCCTTCCCCTAAATGCACCCTTGGGTCCACCTTTGTTCCCAGCTGCGGTCCAGCCAGTTCTCCCATCTCAGACTGGTTTTAACACATGACTTTCAGGTGCCACTTTGTCCACGTGGTGCAAAGCTCCTGTCCCAAGTGGACCCCCTGGGACCAGGGTCCGCAGATGTGGTCTCGGGTCAGATGTAGGGCTTGGCAGGGCTGGAGGAAGCCTCCACCTCCCTTCTGAGCAACCCAGAGAGTCTTTTTTGGAAGAGGTGGGCTTTTGAGTGTGAAGAGTGCGACGTTAAAGAGTCATCTTGAACATGGTAACTCCCAAACATTAAACAACTTGCAAGCATTCCCCTTCACCCCCATAACCCCCCTCCCCGAGTCCACCTCATGCTGAGCCAGGCAATGTCAAGAGCAGGGAAGATGAGGGGTTGGTTCCATTCACAGAGGGCTTATCAAGCACCTGCCTTGTGCCAGGATTCCCCATTCCCCGGGCAGCAACCTCAGCAATTCCTCCAGCCTGCCGGAAAACCAGAAGCCCCCACCCCTGCCAGGTGCCCAGTGCTGTGTCCAACTCTGCAGGGGGAAGGATCGGGGAGGAAGAGGCCAAGGCCCTGAGCCCTGGACTTTCTCAGCAGGCAGGAGTGAGCTACACTCCAGGAAACAACAGAGCGACACCGAGCAGACACACAGGAAATATTTGGTGAGGGATAAGTGGCAAAGGGGCATGGCCGAGACCCTTTATCTTAAGTGCCACGCTTACCCAGCATTGCTGGGCACACCTAGTGAGTCCTCAGGAAAGAGAGAGAGGAGCAAGGAAGGCTTCCTGGAGGAGGGAGAAGTACTCAGTTGCTATTCAAGAAGTGTGTGTTCAGTGTTGTTTGTAGTGCAGAAATTCTAGCACAGGGTCTTTATCCTCTTCTCTCTGGCTCCCTTCCTCCATTCGCCCCACACACACCTCCTTTTCCCTCCCTCTCTCTCTCTCTCCCCACCCCCCATTTCTGCCTCTCCCTGCTTCTGCCTTTCTTTGGTTTTCTCAATTTCTTTCTGATTCTCTGGCTTTCTCTCTCTCTCTGACTCTGTTTCCCTCCCCCCTTCCCTCCCTCCCTCCTCTCAGCGGAGATTTGTGGCAGACCAGAGGCCCTCATACCAGCAGATGAATAATTGACAAGGGTTGTTTAAAGATTCAGTGGAGTTTTTCCAACCTCACCACACTGGAATAACTCATTTCTTTCATTCTCTCTTTGAAAGCCTTTCCCCCCTCCCTCTATCTCTCCCCTTCCCCTATCCCCATATGCCAGCCCCACTCTGAGCACAGCTTTTGTCTCTCTCCATTTCTGAAGTCTGCTGGACCCTTCTGAATGATCCCTTCATCCTCATTTCCTTAACTTCACTTCCCCCACTGTACCACCCCATTTGACCTCTCCTAAGGGTGGTAGGTTGACTTCAGCTCCTCGGGACACCATTTCCCCAAGAAAGAGGGCCCCATTTCATGGGCGAGGAGAGGAAGGAAGGCCGAAGGAACTGTGACCTCTCTCAGATCACACAGCAGCAGAGGTGGGGTTCAGACCACTGGAGTGCAGGCCTCCTAGCCCAGGGAACCCCCAGGCAGGTGGAGAGGGGCTGGCTCTGCCACGCCTTCCCGGGGTGGTTCTGAGCACTGTGTCCCTGAGCTTTAATTTCTCTGTCTGTAACACAGGAGAGCTGCTTACCTGCTCTAACAGCTCCATAGGACCAGATGGGACAGAGGAGGGACCTTCATAAGCGGGGGGGGGGGGGGGGGGGGGGGGCGGGGTGCTGGCGGTGTAGTAGAGACTCCTGGGAGCGTGGTCCTGCGTGGCTGCCGGGAGTGGCCTGAGGGTGCCCAGCCATCCCTGTTTGCCCAGGACCGAGGAGTCCCTGAGCCGTAGGACTTGCAGTGCTAACCCAGAGACAGACTCAGGCGAACCAGGAAGAGAGTCACCCTGCGTGGTGTGGGCCCGCCCCCCAAGCCTTGCAGCAACAGGGCACACACCCTCTGCCCATCCTGCCCAACTCCACACTGTCCCCTGCTCTCACAGAGCTCTCACCATCTCCTTGAAGTGACCTTGAACTCCCTTCCCCTCTCTGGGCCTCAGTTCCTTCCTCTGACAGCAGAGGAGGTTGGAGCAGATGTTCCGGAGCTCCCCCCCTCCCCCCCCGCCCCGGGGCTCCTGTGCTGTGACCAGAGCCTTGGTCCTGCCCTCACCCACCCCCCCACCCCCACCAGGATGAGGTCTGTAGGCTGGTGAGG